AATACACGTTTCTCTATTAATGGAAAAGAAAAATATTATTTTTTCAAAGAATTTATAAAACTTATATGCCAAAATAAAATGCGGATAATTCATCCACAAGTTTTACTATATTGTTATAAAGTTATCCTTTTTTATTCATTTAAATATTACTTATGATTTTGGATCTCATACTTTTGATCAACAGTGTATATCAAGTAGTAATGGGTGTTTTCATATGCAATAAAAAATATACAAATTTACGTTTATAGAAATTATTTCTTTTAATTTATTATAACAGTACATTGTTTTTGGACTTATTTTCAATATATTTTAAGTTTTTAAAATAAAACACATTCTCCAGCATATGTATAAAATTGAAATAATAAAATACATGTATAAATTAATAATTTTTTATAGGGAACATAGAGCTGCATCGAATATTGCATAGAAAAACATGATTTCATTAAAAAAAATGAAAGTAACTTTGAAATTTTAAAAATCCTCCATCTACAAAAAAACCTGTTATTGCCACATTGTAGGCTTTTTATACTGAAAAATTTTGGTTAATAAAGTTTTTTCATATTTTCTAAAAAACAGTGAAGATTATAAGATACTAATATTTACTGATGCACCCTATACTTCTAATTGCTAGAGGAAAAACAAAATTCTACATAACCTATTTATGCCTAATATATCACTGTGAAATGATAAGTAATCAGTTTTGTATTTACTTTATAAAGAAAATTAATAATCATTCATTATTTAATCCAATATTAATATAATATTATTTTCTTTCCAAATGAATATAACAAAGTAAATTGTAGCAATCAACAAAATTTAACATACTGACTGAATTATGAAATACCGCTATTTACATTAAGTAAAGGTTTTTATGTATCTTTCTTCAAAATATTTTTCATATCATCTAAGTAAGTATTTACATTGATTTAATATATCCTTTTATGTGATTTACTTAGATTTATAATATCAAAATCTATATTTAGTAACCTGACTTGAGTATAGCAGACGTATTTTTAAGCTTTGACATTTTGATAAACATTGATAAATAAATATACTGATACACATTGATAAATAAATATACTCGTGTATTCACGGTACGTTACTAAAGAAATGATTCCCCGGATAGTACACAGGCAAAAGTGGACTCTTGTTATTTCTGTTTATAATTTTGATTAATGGTGTGTAATCGTGTTGACAAATAACAAATTAATATTAGAAATATGATAACAATAATTGAAAACTGACCGATCAGACTCGCATTCCTTTCAGAAATCTTCTCATAAGCAACGCGAAATAAATACTCATTACGTAGGTAAACTACCTACTAACTTTTTGAAGTTCTGTAACTATGTTCATGGAATTCAAATTTCGCACAAATACGCACTGGTAATTGGTTCTCAAAGATGTGGTAGAGTCTGACCTCTATAAGGTATTCTGTGGTTTAACTAATAACTTTGTAATTTTTCTGTAGTTTCTAGGATTATTCAAAATTATAACGAATTTTGTGCAGAAATTGTAAACGTGAAATATTAGTAGCACTAATACGGAAAGTAAAATGGAATCACATCAAGCACGCAAAACTAAAAAGTATATATAACAAATGTGTCAGTTCTTTTCATTTATTTTATAATTATTATTTATAAATATATTTTTAGGTTCTTGAATAGCACTATTTCCGAACATGGACATGAAAGTGGTTCAACCTCTTCTCGCCGCAGAACAACATTTGATTTTATCTCACCAGATAGTAAATAATTATGTCTGAATTTTATGATGAATGAATCTATAGAATATTAAAAATATTTACTAATTTGTTAATCTAGATCTCACAAAAACTTGTGCAACAGAGCGAATATCAATGGCACCTTCTCAGCTGGATACACATATTGAAAATGAGGACACAGAAATAAGTCTTTTGTATAACAAATATTTACAAAACTTGATGACAGAGATTATACTGAAGCAAAAGATACAGGAAAAAGAGAAATTAATTATAACAAAATTAGCAACAATGGCTAAAGAGGTTGATGAAAACAAGAAGAAATTATTTGAATTAAAAACTAGAGAGAGAGACATAATCCATTTAACTATGTTACAAAACAAAATAGATTCTCAACTTGTAGATATAAAGAAATATAATAGTAAATATTATTGATAAACATTTATATTACAGAAACATTTTAAAACTGTTTTAGGAAACTACATATTGAATTAAATTTTATTTTAATTACAGAATCTGAGGATATTAAGAAGGTAGAAAATATTTTATCTCAATTACACATCCTTCTACAAAGTTATGACGTGCTATGTTGTGATAATGTAATTCTTCCCAAGACACCCAAAGAATGGGAAGAAACAATTCAAGCTGTAAAATCTTGTCGTGATACTTTAAAGTCTATTATAGATTTAATTGGATCCCGAAATGAGTGTTATCAGAATGTTAATGTTGGTCTTAAAGATTTCTTGAATATTTATAATGCTATTAAAGATCATCATAAAAGGTATAATGTTAAATGTTAACTCTTTATAATTAAATTGTATTATGGTCAATGACATGTTGTCCTGTTTCTAGGTTGGAAAAAGATATTGTAGAGCTACAAGCTCTTGCGTTGAAAACTTCAGCCTTAAGTTTAATGTAAAATTGTAACCAAACGGGTCAGGAGATGTAAATATTTAATATCACAGTATTAAATACTCTTTAAGTACAATACCATTTTTAAAACTTTATGTATATTATAAAAACATGATTAAGTAAATTTAAAAAAATTAATTGTATATTGAATAATCTTTTTTATTTCATTATTTGTGATATACTGAACAATCTTTTTTATTTCTTTCTATTTTGTTTATATTTTCAAACCTTCCCAAAGGATCCCTTCAACTATGAAGCCGTCGCTATACCATGACAACTATTATTTCATCTGTTGAGGTTGTAATAAATAAGTAAATATATCCTGGAGATCATAAAATCATAAAATGTTAAATATCTTTATAAATAATGAGTATTGGCAAAAACTATCGGATACGTTGTTAACTTACTTCTACTGTAAATTAACCACAAAAAGTTTGATTAAAATATTCAACAGACCAGCTGTAAAGTTTCCTTGTGAGTCGAGAAATTTTCTCTCTATCTAGCACCGTTGAACTGCCAACAAGTGGAGATATGCAATACAGTTTTATTTTACTGTGTATATACCTAGTTCCTTCTGGTAGACTTGTCCCTATACTGTTTTTTTGAGTTACTAGTCTGAGGGGAGTAAGTTAGACACCGTTGGTATACACAGTTTCCGTATGAAAGTATTGAAAATATTTTTATACATGATTAATATTTTCGATCGTTATTTTGGTAAAAAAACATATAATAATAATTAAAATAAATATAAGCTGATAAACTCTAAAATGAATTATAACTTAATTAGAAATAAGTACACAAACAGTTTGTGTTTCTTTGAAGTTAATTGGTTCATGAAAACTGTAGTATTTGAAATCTTTTGTATATTTCTTCAATAGTACAAAAATTAAACCTTATTTAAATAAAGTAAATATTTATTTCAAATTTATTAATTTCGTTTTATTTATAATCTTTAATTATAATGTATTAAAATTTAGGTAAACCTTTTGCTTATATCTATTAAGGTGGTGTGGATATTGAATTGACCAATCAGAAGTAAAGGCTTTTAACAGAATCGACCATTTTGAATGCTGCTTTCATCAGTCTATTTCACGTCCACGATAGACGCTTACAATTAGTGACTCCATTTCCTTCAGCATTCCCGTTTTGCCTCATTTTCTTGGGCAGTGATCAAGTTTGATCATTCTTCGGTGAGTAGTCTTTTATTATTAAGATTTACTTATAAAAATTGTATGTTAGATATTGTAAAATATTATCTAGCGTCTCTCTCGTTAATGTAATAGAAAGTTTTTCCGATAACGGAGTTCATTGAAATTTAACAGTTAGTCACATTGCACGGCGTCATTTGGTAT